CCTAAACCCTAAGCCCTCTACCCTAGAAGTACCTCACCGTCTTCACGTCTCAGATACGTCTGTGGTGGTACAGCTTATGAGGTTTGGGTCCAGCCAGACACCTCAAGAGTAGCTGTAATAGTCGCAGTCACACTAGAAAAGATAACCGTAAACCCTAAAGCCCTAAACCCTAAACCCTCAGTGTCATTTCCTGAACTAGCACAGAACTTCATGCCGGGACCCTTTTTTAGTTTCCATGTCTGCTAGTCCAGCGTTTAGGATCGGGCACCGACCTCTCCCAGTAACAGTCTGCACAATCAAGGAGGGCTATACTTCATGACTAGAACATTCAAGCTCGTCTAACTAAGGGAACCCATGAAAGCCCTGAACCCTAAACCATAACCCCTAAACGCTAAATGCTGGGTGCAAGCGGCACCCCAGGTACAGACTTATTTCGAGGCTCAGGCAGGGTTTTTGTCTTTCATGTGTTAAGGGGTCGTCTTCAAGGCTCTATCATGGGTTCCCCCACTACCGCCCCATACTTCTCCTGCCCTAAACATGCAGGGTTTAGGGCGTAGGGTTCGGGCTCAGTACTGCCCTGAACCCATGCAACCATCTAACATACATAGCGGATCCTATGATTCCCATGTTGGAATCACATGGTGAACTATTCAGCTTTCCAACAGGTTTACAGTAGTGCCAATGTATTGGGAGACAACTTCAGCATTCAGAGGTTCTGGGAGGGTCAGAAATTAGTAAGTATACCTATGACTCCTACAAGCTGCATGAGAGCCCCGGTTCTCCCCATTATTGACCTACTCAACTAAGTGCCCCCGACCCTCCAAACCCTAAGCCTTGAACCAATAACTTTGCACATGCGTTCAGCAATGCTCTGTCCTTGCGCGCCCCTTCCTCGGTGTAGTGGGCAACTGTTCGTGTGGCTCCTGAGTTCTTCTGCTGACAACAGGTCATGCAGTTTAGGGTTTGCTACCCTGCTTGGCGGGTCAGGAGGACTCAGTAAGTAGGTTGCTGATGAGGATAGCTGGGGTTACTTGGTGGCTTATAGGGCTTACGCGTATGCTTACTACGTTCCCTAGACCCTCCAAGTAAGTTATGCTGCAGAGACTCTAAACCCTAAACGCTGGCCTTAAGCCATAGAAGATCACCAGGATGGGCTACTACGCTTTAAAAGCTCCTGAATCTACCCTTGGGGTTCCAATACGGAATTCTATATAGGGTCTACCACTTACTGGTTCTTAATAGGGAGTACAACTTTTGAGCCCCTTAATCTACCCAATACGGACATTCTAGGGTCTACTACTTGCGGGCTTTTAGTAGGCAATATGCTGGAGGGTTAAACTCTAAACCCTAAACCCTAAATCCCTAAACCCTAAATCCCTAAACCCTAAACCGCATGGTGGTCCAACAACGCTGGGTTTCAGGGACGCCCATCTCGCGAGCAGGCACGGTTTTTTCCAGAGCTCCAGCACAACTAGTCAGCTTCAGAAGCCCCGAACCTAGGGGTTTAGGGTTTAGGGTTTAGGGACCCTATCCGCCATCCGCCCCTACTTCACCCCGGAACCCCAACGTGATCCGGAAGCCAGTGCCTAGCTACTAGGGGCCTGCTGCATACAGACAACTAAAGCAAGGTGTGTCAAGTCAGCAAGCAAATGCAGATTACCTGTATCAATGTTGCTACTACGATTCTGCTACTATTGTTATTACTCCTATTTTTAGCAGTATTACTATATAGCCTTGAAACGAAACACGCAACAAGCTGGAAGGCTCCCCTTCATTCAAGGTGTAGGGTTTAGCTACTAGCCACGTGCAGGTCTCAGCTCCCAGGGGAGCTTCGCAACTTGTCACAACAGTCAACTACGCACTTTACAGATCTAGTCCTGCTGACGTAGATAGAATATGGCTTTGTATATGTTACAACAACCCATATACCAAATATTCTATCTACTTAAGGGGGACTAAAAGGTTTAGGAATGGGGCTTCATCCAAAATATGCGGGCCAGCGTCCGTAGCTTGGCAAACTGCCCATTGGGAGGCAGGCCATGAGCTTCCAAAAACATCTGGCTTTCCGCTTGAGGCGGACCCGTACAGCAGCTCCAAAAGCTGCATGTGAGCTACACCTGTGGATTCTGTGATAGAGGATGATTTGATACAGGAAGATTTCAATTGGCATAAACCAATCTCTGTCGATCCGAATAGTCTGAGGTTTTCGTAGCTCACATATGTTCCAATTGCGAGATTGGTCTCGCGGGTGTTTATGCCTGAAAAGGTCTCTGGAGGGAGCCTTTTCGAGGGTGAAACTACATGGAGGGTACTGCAAATTTCTGTAAGTAGGCCTATAACCCGACTTGTAATGGAGGAACATTACAGAAAGACAGTTGCCTGAAATTATGCCTCTGTTCTCAACCGAGTCAATGATGCGATGGCTGTTGCGCCCCCTCCTCAACTAATTAAACAACGGGAAATGTTAAATCGCAAAGGTGAAGGACATCTGGCTTTCTGCCTTTTTTGCCGACCAGTCCCGCAGCGCCAAAGCCGCATGGGAGATACACCACTTAGTATGATTCTGTAGTAGAGGATGATATGGTACCCGCCCCCCAGACAATTTCAACTCAAGGCCTAATGATGCGAGAATAGTATTCCCTGTATGGCTACCTGGGTCTCTGTGGGTCAGGCAACACTGGAATGTATTTCAACATCCCCAAGGTGAGGGAATTCTTGCTTCAGTAGCGAGATGCGGACCCGTGCTACAGATACAAAGCAACATGCGAGCTACACCATTGGAGTCTTTGCTGGGGAAACATCGTCAGTCAGAAGGCAAAAGGCGGCTCGACCAGCAGTAGCTCGCATAACGTTGAAGTGACATTACAAATTCCGCTCCTTCCATGGTTTTCTTGCGGGAAATGCCCGCGGTGAAACTAGATGGAGGATCCGGGAACTTGTGCAAGTAGGCATATATTTGCCTAATTAGGAAAGCTAATGCCAGGGGCATGGCAGGGTATCAGAACCGTCTCAGGTTCCGTCTACTATCCACGAATCCCCGGACCGTCCAAGTAACAACAGGCGAGGGAGTCTCCGGGCGGTAGTCCCCTCCCCACACTAAATTGAACCCTAAACCCTAAACCCTCTAAAATGGAGTTCCAGATGAGCCACTTTAAATAATCCTTTGTCAGACCCTTTTTGGGGAGGTCCAGCTTACTTGCTGTGGCGGAGGGCATATCTCTGGAGACACAACAGGAATGGAGCAGGAAGGTCATATGGTAGTTTGCCAAAATAAGGGGACCTTGATATAGACCCCAACATACTATAATCCATCTTATGTAGACCCCCCCCAATAATCTATATACCGCTTATTTTCGGAAACCCTCATATCGGAGATGGTCATTTTGAGGTTCAGCTACTTGCTATGTCCTTCCTGGCCCAGGATTGAGGTGGGAGATCTGCACTGTGCTGCAGCTTGTTACAAGCAACAAGTTGCGCTGTTTCACGGCCACGGCTGCTAAGAAAAATGTTTGGCGTGACGTGCCCCCCCCCCTCCTACTCTTCCAAGTGGCAGGTCGTGCCTAACCATCAAATCTCTCTGGTAGCCTGCTCTGGAAATGTGTAGGGATTACATTTGAGAAGGGGGGAGGGGGTCTGATGAATCCTGCATCGGCGAACTCCATCTAGGCCTGCCCAATTACAAAACACCCCTCGCGTGAGAGCTCTGGCTTCAGCGTTCTAAACCCTGGGCCCCAGGCCCCAATCCTAACCTAAGTTCTAGATGACGATGGACAAAGAATGCGCTGAAGCCTTTAGCTGAGGTGGAGGCATGGTGGCTTTCAAACGTTCCCCCTCAGCTCGGATGTGCGGAGGTAGGCGGTGCATGCTGCACTCCACGAGGTGGATGAAAGACATCTTCTCTGCCTTGATCTTTGCCCGGATCCTCGGCGCAAAAGGCTCGATGACTTCAGCTTCGAGGAGAGCAATGAGATGCGAGGCTGAGGGAAGAAGCCCCTTCATCTCGGCTTTCCACCGGATGTAAGGCAAGAAGGTTACTAGGAGCTGCTGGTCGGTAACCTCAGCACGCAACTCTCGGAAGCGCCTGTTGGGTCGCACGCCAATTGCCTCATGCGGGAGGTGGCAATACCCACACGCCAATCCGGCGGGGCATCGCTCGCGTTTGAAGCAGTAGACGCAAGGCCTGCTGTAACCCCAATACAAACCCAATATAAACCCCAATATAAACCCAATAAGACCCTAAACCCAATATAAACCACAACATAAACTCAATAAACCCAAAACTCTAGACGCAAGGCCTGCTGCAGAGCTCCGGGTGGCCGTAGCTGGCCTTGTTGTAGCCCACAGTCCAGGATGCGTCGAAGGATGCTGACCTTTGGAACTGTCCTGGAACAACGCCAGCGACCTGTGCCGGTTGGGCATAACCCGTCTGCTCGCCGAAGCCAGCACCACCATCATGGAAGGCGCCAAGCTGCGAAGACAACGGTGCTGTGGATTTCAACTCAAGGTTGACACCCGCGGCATGCATGTACATGGCTGCCCTGACACTCCGCGCTGCGCTGAGCGAAACACGTTGCGTGTCAAAAGCTTGAACTTGAGCCGTTCAGGGTCAAAGGTGTAGGGGCCCGGGCAAGGAGAACATGCGTTCTTACAATCACGAAGGGGCCAGAAAATCATTATACCCCTATGTGTTGGAGCTCCATTTCATTATCCATATTCTTTTCATGTGGATCTCCGTTATCCAAACTCCTAAGCCCTGTTCATTATATCCCTTAAAGGGATCTAGGGCTTCCATGTCACTATCCATGTTCTTTACCATTCAGTTCCGCTTTCCTGATACTAAACCCTACATATATCCCTCAAAGGGACCTACGGCTTCACTATCCATCGTCTTTTCCATTTGGTTGCATAGGGAATATGTGGAACATAGTCCCTATAAGGCTCCATATATATTGTTCCCTCATTCCCTGCTAAGAACCCTAAACCCTAAACCCTAAACCCCTAAACCCTAAACCTTAAACCCTAAACCCTAAACCCTAAACCCCTGTAAGACTGGGTCACCCCCAGCTCCTGCCGATCTGGAAGCTCGAGGCTCTATTATAATCCTCAAAATATGTACGTCCTTACTCCAAATACCCCCGTAGAGGGTTTAGGGTTTAGGGTTTAGGGTTAAGGGTTTAGGGTACCCCTAATGTGGGGAAACCCATCTGAAGTTCGAGCTTCTATGCGTTGTAGGCTTTCATGCTCAGAGTGAGCCTGCAACCATTGCCCTCTCCCAAACTAACATAAGGGTTTAGGGCTTAGGTTTGCGGACTACTGTCTTTCAAACACTGGCCTATATGAAATATGAGCTTCCATGCGAGTTTTGGGAGGGTAAGCAGCCTCAACAAGCAAGATCTGATTGAATCCTCACAAGACTGCAAACTAACCCCATATAAGCTACAGTCTATAAACTTCTAGTATATCCCTCTTAATAACCCCTATAGTAGTACCGTTTATAACCCTCTTTAACCAGTTCAGACTATGGCTCATATAACCCTAAACCCAAACCCTATATACGCAACTCTTAAGTAGCCCTATATAATCCCTAAACCCTAAACCCTAAGTCTGAAGCTGTCCTATATAACCCCCTGCGCATGCACCCAGGCCAAGTCCACATGCAGGACATGCATGCTGTGCCCGTGTGCAAGCAGTTTAGGGTCTAGGGTTTAGGGTATGGCAACCCGCTGGCCCCAAGTCATAAACACTTAGAGACTCGACTTCGATTGCGCGCTTTTCAGGGTTGAAAGTTTAGGTATAGTTTAATGCTTGGAGGATTGGACGGTCAGGGTAACTGAGTAAGTATCCTTGAAACTTATAACTCCTATGAGACGCATAATAAGCCAGTCATCCCCATCAGCAACCTACTTACTCAGCCGCCCTGACCCCCAAGTATCATTGCAATTAGGTGGGCGGTTCGAAAGACAGAGCGTTTGATGCCAGAAGTGGGATGTCTTTAATACCCCCCCCCATGTAGCACCAGTATATTGTCAACATTACGATCCATTGCCGCGGTACGCTAAAATACCTTGGTCCGTAATATTCACGGACCCAGCGAGGGAGTTTTGACATCCTACCACAGGATGAGGCGACCATTCTTCAGCTCTAGATCCTAAACAACGTAGTCGCTGCCATTTGCTTTCCAGTCCCCTGTTTTGCCCTGTTGAACCGCTTTTCGGGGGGGGGGGTTTTGCCAGGGGCCGGGCTGGAATTGGCTACAGAAGAATTGGGCTTTGAGCTTAGGTTGGGTACGGCCCCCCCCCCCCAGTAACAGTCTATATTAGGGGTCCTATTAAGGGCTCTATATGGCCAGATTATGACTCTGATCCAACTGTTACTGAGTGGGGGCAGTACCCAAAGCTTAGGGTAAGAATCACAGGATCATAGAAGTCTCTCCCTCAGGCTCCCCTTGAAGAAACTCCCAACCCTAAACCCTAAACCCAATAACAACCCTATAACCCCCTATATAACCCCTTCATGAGTTTAGACTACAGCTCAAATACTCCAACCCTAAACCCTAAACCCTCAACCACTTCACTCAACAAACCCTAAACCTTTTTTGATATGAAATCAAGACACCCCTAAACCCCAAACCTTAAGCCCTAAACCCTACACCCCAAACCCCAGACCCTTAACCGCCCTAAAACTCTTGGACCTTCATGGTAAAGCTCCGATGAAGCCCAACCCTTCCCCCACAAAGGCCCAGGACAGTCCCAAGAGCCTTAGGCTTTAGGGTTTTAGGGTTTTAGGGTTTAGGGGTTTAGGGTTTAGGATTTAGGATTGAAGGTTTTAGGGTTTAGGGGTTTAGGGTTTTAGGGTTTAGGGTTTAGGTATCATTTTACATAGGATTTAGCGTAGTTACTAATCAAGAACTTCCAAGTCTTTCAAGACCCAGGCTCTGTCGCCAACTCCACCGATTCGCACATCCCCGTAATCCAGGATTCCTGAGGCAAAGCCCCTAAACACTGAACCCTAACCCCCGTAAGTAGATAGAATATGGCTTTGGGTATATTATAATAAGATCCCCCTATACCCCATATTCTATCTACTTAAGGGGGACTATAACCCCTAAACCCTTAAAACCCTCCGGTTTAGGTCTTAGGGTCCACAATCAAACAGGAAATTCCTCAGGCTCTCTCCCCCTTACAGTGGACGGAGGAAATCTTGCTGAGTGTCACAAATCAGGGAATATTTTTTCAATGTATGTTTTTCTTTACCACTAATCTAATATACCCAGTGCCATATTCTGACTAAATAAGGGGGACTATACAAGCCTGGGGCCAGGGTTCGAGGTTTGTTCTAGCAGCACGCATGAGCGTGGAACTACGTCCGCTGAGCCCTGCAAACTCCAAACTGCTTCAACCCTGCGCCTTTAACACTGTTTAGGGTTTAGGGTTTAGGGTTTAGGGACGAATCCATGCTGTAAACAACTTGCAGTTCCTTCAATTTTGAATCTCTCTCACTTCGGGAGCATCTATCATGAAGCTCTTACCATTTCAGGGCGAGGCAAAGTGGACCCCATTGTGATGCCTCTTTTGACAAGGCAATTTAGGATATCCTGAATTCCCAATTTAAGGCCTCGGGGTATTATTCCTAATAGTTGTAAGTGTATTACCCCGGCGATAAATGTGGGGCTAGTCACTTAGTCAGTCGGCTAGTGCTTACTGTAATGTGAAGTCAACATTATGAATGTTGTTGTTGGCCGCTCACAAGTGGACACCCTAAATCCTAAAACCTAAAGGACACCCCGCACGCAATTAGGCCCAACAAGCCGTTCTTGCAAGAAAGCAAGAATACATCTGGGTAGTAAGACAATGGCACCCCAGCTTGTACCCCAAAATATCAGGTGCCGCACCGCTACCATGTCTAAAAACCACTAACCACCTCCCCGTCTTTTTGAAAACCATGTAACTGTAACCCTAGACAAATGGAAAAACCGGAGGACTCAAAGCCTGAACCCTAAATCCTACCCTTTGCAACCCCAAACCCAGGGGTCCCCCCTATTAGCCCTCACCCCCTATGTCGCTTAAGTTCCCCTCACTTGGGGGGAGTATCGGGGCTGTAGTGGGGTTCATGGGTTTTCATAGGGTTCAGAGCTTGGTGGTTGGCATAGGGTTTAAGGTTTATTTCGGGGTCAGCCTAGGGTTATTTAGGGGAACCCATCATAAAACTTTCATCCAAGCTTCCCTTGATGGCAATTGCCAGGTTGGGCAGTGTCATGGAGGGTGCCCAGCCCTTCTGGGTCAGCGGTTCGAAGCAGATACCCCCACGCTCGAACACGAACCTATGTGGGGTTTCCCTAAAAAAGGGGGGGGGGGTACCTTTAGGGGATCCCTATAAATAAGGGTCATCGTATTTGACCCAAACCCTCAACCCTACAAGTAAGGACCATAGTAGTTGGACCCTAAACCCTAAGCCCCAAACCCCAAACCCTAAACTTGGGGGTCTATACTGGGGTCACCCTACTTATGGAAACTACCACATCGTTTCAGGCTCAGAGTTGGGTTTTAAGCTCTACACATGGCTTGGAGCTAGTGGTTTGGGGTTTAGGGTTCTACGTGGCACTTAGGACCCATACTAAGGCCCCTTAGGTACCTATCATAGGAGTATAAGGGAATTCCAACGGGTCAAGGGTCTAAGGTCCAAGCTAAGTCCCAAGGAGGGTTTTAGGGCTTTCAGCTATTAGGGATCGGTTTGCGGGTAAGAGATCAGGGCTGCTAGGCAGCTTTGCATGAATAGTCTTTTGGAGGCATAGACTGTTATTGCAAGATGGCGTATGATATAGCAAAGCAAAAGCTACCACTGAACTTAAACCATAATTTCCCAAACCTTAAACCCTAATTCCCAAACCCTACAGCTACTTTAGCTACGGCTCGTGGCTCCGGGGTGCCCGGCTTTAGAGCTAGACCGGGTAGGCATTTTGTGAAACATTCCTGCTATCTCGAATAGCAACCAAGAGGATGGGTTTCCTTTTTGGGGTTTAGGGTTTAGGACGATTCTAGTGTTTGGGGTCTACACAGGGGTCCCCTATTTACAGAAGCTACCATATAAGGGATATGCACATAACTTTAAGAATGCCCAGAATGCTGCTCAATACCGGACCAGCAGCCCACCCTTCAGCTGCGGATACACCACCCGGACGAATGGCGGCTCCATAGGGAATCCGTCGGGTAGCACCTCCAGGGCAACGATGGCTGAGCGCTCAGGCTAACGCCTCAAAACCCTAAACCTTTCTAAGGCTTCCTGTTCTTACGAGATGCTTACGTACCGAGCAAACATAATTCAAAAAAACATGACAGCTGTGGTTGTGCTACATGAAAGACTTCAGAGATATTCTTGTACAGCCACATCTGCCCGAAAGGGCCCCAAAATGGCGGGTAGCGAACGTGAACCTCTCCGCATGTCCAGAATCCTAAACCCTCAATGAATGCACACAAACCATCATCCCAAACCCAAAATCCTAGCGCGCACCCTGAGTCCTGAAGCCCT